GAACAATCTTAGTTTCATAAATTTTTATCATACTATTTACACCTTAAAAATAAATCAATGAGATAAAGCAATGTGTTAAGAGTAAGCCCAATCCTTAAGGAAAGTCACTAAGTTGGATTAGGTGGAATTGGGTTGGGCTAACTTGGAATTAAAGGGCCCAGACAGATTTTCAAGGAGGTTGGAGTTTAGGTGGCAGAAGATAAGTTGGGTTCTGGTGTTTAAGTTTGATTGAAAGTAGGAAATTGAGAGTTTTTAGGAGGAGATTATCCCTAGGGTTTATTGGGGATGAAATTGAACCAAAAATAGAAAACTGCCAAACAACTGCTAGACGTGGAGTTCCCACTACTCAGTCATGGTGAGAGAGGGCCGAGAAACATGGAGGAGGTTTCCCAACACTGAAGGAAAGAAAAACAGGAAGAAAAAATCAATTCCAAACGACCTGCCCCACACACATTGCCTAGAGCATATGGTTTTCAACTTTAGACTGCTTTTTCCCAGATTTCAGCATAGTTTCCAGACTAGTTTGCAAGATCTATTCCTATTCATAGCTTTAGTTTAGGTTTTTCCATTCTTGTTCATATCTTTCCTTAAAGATTTCCACTTAGGTTAGTTTTTAAGCATTTGGAACTAGATCAACCTTGAGAACGAGTCTGTCCCATTGATTTGGTTAGTTCTTCTTTCTCTTATGGATTCATCTATATTATTTGTTCATGTAAATAGGATGAATGCTTTCTGTCTTCTTTTCCTTGTATTTGCATAACTGTCAGACCTACAGTTTATTTAATTTCAATTTTCAGAGTTAATTTTACAAGTTTCCAAACTTTAATTATTTCGTAAATTCTCCTTCAGTTTTAGTTATCAAGTAGTTTGGTTATTTTTATTTTAAATCTGCAAGTAATTAGTTTAATTGTTATGGATTGCATAGTGGAAATCGTTATTTGTGATTTTACATTTTCTGTTGCCTACGAGTTTTATTTTTGTGGCATGTTATTTTCTTTTATTGATTTCATGTTAGATTAATTGCCTTAGGAGTTTGTGTTAATTTTAGGATTTGTAGTTTTTATTACACTTTTGTGGTTATAAAGTCCTTGGAGGTTTCTAAGGCAATTAATAACCCATTTTGCAGAACTCTACCCTCTGTTTTGCAATATCGTCTAGGGCACAATTTATTTCATAGACGTTCTTTTCAGCCATCCTTTTGAAGGTCGACCGTTGGAAAGGAGAAGGGTTGTCTGGAAAATCCTGTTTTTTGGTTTTTAGACAAAGCAAGTGGTACGCCTAATACCCAAACTCACGTGGTCAAGGCCGGCTAAGGATTTTTGGGGAAACAATCTTTTGTTGGCACGCCTGGTGGGACTTGTGGTTGGAAAAAGTCCCTTGGATGGGGTTGATGATGAGGATCCACATTTCCCCTCCTAGTTGGCGGAATATACTTGTGTTGAGCTTAATGGCCATGGTCTACAACAGGAGCATCAGCCTCCATCAGTTCGTGTTTCTTTGCCCTTCACCCATGAAGAACTTATGATGCTAAACATTAGGATGCGGCTAATTTCCTGGCCCCCTGGGTGCTAGGATTGGGGCTTCTTGAATCTGTCAGGGAATTTCCACGGTTGGAGGAGGGATCTCAGGTCTAGGCTATCACACTTGCTCAACTACTTGTTCTAAAACAGCCTACAATGTTTTGCGACTCTCTTCTCTAGTTTCACGCATCACCCTAATCCTTCCTCAAAGATCCGTCTCAGTTCGACCATATATTGTCTCATCACCTCATAATGCTATCTGGAAGATTCTGCTTGTTTCTCAATGATTTTCTGAACATCTTGAGCCCGCTCTCTGCATGATATCTCAAAATGTTCAATCAAGTTTCTAATCACAATACATGACTCCGCAAATTCATCTTTGCGGGCTGCATACCTTTTCTTGAAAATTGGATTGCCATAAGATCGCTCCATGAAGGGTGACGAGAGGGGGGGAACAACCGGATCCTTCTCACCCTCCAAGTAGACTAGACTATCATCTACATGTTCAACTTGGGCTGGCTAAACCTCTTTATCTCTGCCCTTTCTTGGTGGCATTGCTCCAATCACCTTCGAATGTATAAACAAAGGAACCTTAATTGATACACCCTACTGGAAGTCCCACTGGGCGTGCCAACAAAGGATTGTTTCCCCAAAAATCCTTAGCCGGCCTTGACCATGTGAGTTTGGGTATTAGGCATGCCACTTGCTTTGTCTAAAAACAAGAAAACATGATTTTCCAGACGATCTTTCTCCTTTCCAACAGTCGACCTCCAAAAGGATGGCTGGAAAGAACGTCCGTGAAATAAATTGCACCCTAGACGATGTTGCAAAACAGAGGGTGGAGTTCTGCAAAATGGGTTACTAATTGCCTTGGAAACTTCCAAGGACTTTACAACCACAAAAGTGTAATAAAAGCAACAAATCCTAAAATTAACACAAAATCCTAAGGCAATTAATCTAACATGAAATCAATAAAAGAAAATAACATGCCACAAAAATAAAAGTCGCAGACAACAAAAATGTAAAATCACAGATAACGATTTTCACTATGCAATCCATAACAATTAAACTAATTACTTGTAAATTTAAAATAAAAATAACCAAACTACTTGATAACTAAAATTGAAGGAGAATCTACGAAATAATTAAAGTTTGAAAACTTGTAAAATTAAATCTAGAAATTGAAATTAAGTAAACTGCAAGTCTAACAGTTATGCAAATACAAGAAAAAGAAGACAGAAAGCATTCAACCTATTTACATGAACAAATAACATAGATGAATCCATAAGAGAAAGTAGAACTAACCAAATCAATGGGACAGACCCATTCTCAAGGTTGATATGGTTCCAAATGCTTAAAAACTAAATTAAGTTGAAATCTTTAAGGAAAGATATGAACAAGAATGGAAAAACCTAAACTAAAACTATGAATAAGAACAGATCTTGCAAACTAATCTAGAAACTATGCTGAAATCTAGGAAAAAGCAGTCTGAAAGTTGAAGAACATATGCTTCGGACAGTGTGTGTAGGGCAAGCTGTCTAGAACTGATTTTTTTTCTTGTTTTTCTTTCCTTCGGTGTTGGGAAACCTCCTCCATGTTTCTCGGCCCTCTCTCACCATGACTGAATAGTCGGGACTCCACGCTTGGCAGTTGTCTAGCAGTTTTCTATTTTTGGTTCAATTTTATCTCCAATAAACCCTAGGGATAACCTCCTCCTAAAAACTCTCAATTTCCTACTTTCAATCAAACTTAAACACCAGAACCCAACTTATCTTCTGCCACCTAAACTCCAACCTCCTTGAAAATCTGTTTGGGCCCTTTAATTCCAAGTTAACCCAACCCAATTCCACCTAATCCAACTTAATGACTTTCCTTAAGGATTGGGCTTACTCTTAACACATGGCATTATCTCATTGATTTATTTTTAAGGTGTAAAAAATGCCCCAAACACTTGGTTTTGTGGGAATAAATCCAAGTGTTTAAATTTTGAACTCACCTTTAAGGACTCCTAAAGCCACGTGCATAATCAATCTAAATCTCAACTTTTTGCTTCCCCTCCCAAAAATCTGCAAATTTCCTTATCACCTCTCAATCTCCTCCTCCATTTAAATATATATAAATATTCTCCGTTAACTCCCCTTTTTCTTTACTTTTTTTTTTAAACTACCAACTCATCTTCTACCCCACATTCAACAACACCTCATTTGGGGAATCACAATCAAAATAGAACAGACCCACTTTTTGTCGTCTTCCTCAGCCTCGCCATCTTCGGATTTGAACCCCAGACCATGGCTGGCAACAAGAAAACCGATACAAACCCTAGCGCAACCGAAACTTCTCCTCTTGAATTTGATCCTCCAGAACAGATAGACCCTGTTGACATCCTCAAAAATCGAGATCTGTAAGAAGAGCTTTCTTCAATTTGTAACAAGGTACCGAGAAGCTTTTCAGACCAGGTTTTTCTTGAAACTTCAGATTCATTAATTTTGGGTCCTGTTTTCACATCAACACCTCCTTCAAATTTGCATGTTCTGTACCCACAACCTCACAGACACTTCCTCCTTTTCCAACTCGAACCAGATTGGGAGCCTTGGCTTGATAGATTTGGCTTAAAGTAAAGTTTATTCTTTGGATTGAACAGTACCTCCTATTTTGGGAGCTTTGTGGGGTGCCTTGTCTGTTTCAAGACTCA